TATGCAAATGGTTACTACCTAGCAACGGTACGAAGCTGTTGCGGTGTAAGAAACCCTCGTCTGACCTGCAAAGCCGCGGCGTATTTCGGGGATTAGCCTTTCAAGGGCGAGGACTTCTTCCATAGTGAATACCTCCAGCAGACTGCAAGCAACAGAGAAAGCATTGGGGCCTGAGCGGCCTGCATATGCAAGCTGCGTGCACTGCCGCTGCGTTTATAAAGGGGAAAGCGGGGAAACCCATGGCTCACTGATGTGAATGTCCTGTGGCGAAGGCGAGACAGGGAACAGGCGTCCTCTTAATTGCCTCTGCAGCCAGAACATACAGCTTTCAGTCAAAGTTATTTATTTTCTTTCCCCTTCTAGCTGCATTATGATGATTATTTTTATTTTGTTGAACCCTAGAACTACACTGCACGAGCTGCACTTACTCTGTAGGTCTTCAGACCAGGGCAATCGCCCGTCGTAGAGAGGAACCGGGCTCGATCGAATCTCTTGCAGCTGTTTCTGCAGAGCCGGAGGCAATTTCTCTATAGACAGACGGTCTATGTACCCCTGGCACACAAAGAGCAGCTTGTCGTAGCTGTCGTGGAGCTGCAGCACAAGGATGAACAACCCCACCAAGCCACACAAACACACAACCAGTCAGCAGGCAGATGTAAATATCCCCATTTCCTTCCAAGCCCAGATCTCAGTGATGCATAAAACATAACGATAAAACCACAGAGACGGCTTGAGAGTAGGCCTCAGGAAAGCAGAAAAAAGCTCTGCAAGGATAGATAAAATGAAAGCTCGTGTGAAGCTCCAGTCTAAGGATTGTGCTGCAGTATCAGCAGCACTCACTTTCTTTACTGGAGACCTCTTTCGCGGCGGATACTCTATGTGCACCACACGCCGCCGGCCTCGTTGCAGCGTATCCCACCGCCAGCCCCGCTGCCTCCACCCCCGTAGAACAGCAGACAAGAACATCCCTCGAGGCTTGGACGCCTCTGTACGTGAACCCTAGAGCCTGGATCTCTTGTGAACCGAACCAGGCGGAGCAGGCAGCAGGGGAGGAGTGCAAAAATATTAAAAAGATTAAGAGGAAGAAATAGAAGAGGGAGAAACAATCATTGCAGTGGACCAGGGAATGAGAAAAACAGTAAAAAACGGAAATCAATCATCCCCTCGATAAACACGGGTCTAGCCGGTGAGCCGGAACAGGGGAATGAGACGAGATTGAAAGCTGAGCTCAACCAGTCGAAACAAACAATTCTGTCTGTTTATAATCACTAATGGAGTACATTAAAAGGGAAATGTTGCAACCCTAGCCCTGGGGGCCCCCTGTAGGGTACTGCAGAGGGGCCCTCGGGCCCCGCGAGGGGGCCTATAGCGAGACACGCGGGGTTGATGGCCCAACCCTTCAATAGCAAGATGTGTTATTAGATCTTTAGAAGATATGTAGCTTTTTAATACTAATAAGCTAATATTTCCTTCGTTATTTTATTCACTTTTGAATGGTTGCCTGCCGAGCAGAGTCAAATGATGCGCTTGCTGAGAGGCGACGGGATAGCTTCGTACCGAACTGAAAAAGCAATTCCTTTGAACGAAACTCTCGATAAACGACTTTCATTATGAATATGCAGAAGACTAATTACGTTAGTCAGCTTTGTTAGCTTTGCCTCCGACGAGATGCTGCGATCCGGCTAGAAATAAATATATTGCTCGGACGGCGGGCGCACCCCATGTCTTCTGTTGTTAATATTTATATTATACTGTAGTTTGATTCGCATTTGTGGATTTGCATCATTCGCAGTTGAACAGCTCCGTGTTCTTGTTCCATGAATCGCTGTTCAGTAGGTTACAGTCCAAGCCACTGCAGACCCAGCCCCGAGTCTCGATGCTTTGTTCTCAGTTTCCCTCACATCTATTTTGTTTGTATATATAACTCCATTTTAACTCTGACCCAACACTTCTCACAAATCTAGGCAGCAGAGGGACGGTAGGCGCACCAGCCTCTCAGGTTTGGCATTGTTGTCGCAGCTCGATAAAGTTGATATTCTTTCTTCTGTATGGAAAACCCAATGCTAATAATAGCCTCAGACTTGTCTGCGTAATTCTAGTTTCCAGTTTTTACTACGTGCCGTTATTTTTTCATTGGGCAGTTTCCTATGCAACGATATTCTGATGGAGGGGAGGTAGGCTCCTCATCCGTTTTGGCGTATAGTGCTGTACTCGTGAAGCCAAGAGCCTCCCGCGCCTCGACAGCAGTCATGTTATTGATCTATTCGGAGCTGCAGATAGACGCAGAAGTGTTGCCTCCGTCAGACAGGAGACAGCCGTGCCCTTTTACGTGCATTGCTGTAACGAGTCCGCCTCGAGTATTTATCAGAGAGAACACCGCGAGAACAGCGGTAGAAAATACATGCAAAGGATAGCCGTAAAGACGGTGTCAAAGCCCAGCTTACGGCGCTCATGTTCGAAGCTGCACATACGCGTTGCGCGACCGAGGTGAAATTGAATGTCAACTACACCTAGCGTTGCGGGGTGAGAAACTAGAAAAAAATAAACGGGAAACTTGGGGAAACTTGGGGGAGGAAAGCAAGGAAATCTCTACAGCTCACACGAGGAACAACTAACAGAAGAGCAAAGTCATCATGCCACCCGCCGCATCTGCAATCTACTAAATTCCTGCCTAGCTACCTGCTTGCTGTTTCAGTATACTGGTGTCAGT